TATATATGACTAAAAGTGGTAGGCCAGATATTTGATCTCACATTGTTTAAATATAAAACTCACACTCATAGTGCTACACCGATCTTTCTTCCAGAAGCAACCAAAAGACATCTATTTAAACACACTACTAAGTTTACTTCTTAACCTAATATGGCAATAGACTATACAAATGTTTCTTATATAAAATCTTATCAGTTTTGCAACTCAAAACTATACAGTTAACTATGCTTTAGCAAGAGACTGTATAGTCATTTACTAAAGCCACTAAGAACAACCAGAATCATATTTAATCAAATTAGAAATTTCATTTGACTCCAACAAATGAAATCAAGTTTATTGTTGTTATACCTGATGATCTTTAACAACTTAAATCCTGGAAGTTATCAATATAAAGTTTAGTTTACAAAACAAAAATGACCATGAAAGGCATTTTCCTTGAAAAGGTGCACTGCCGTATTTTTCAGCTTTGTTTTGTTCCTTAGACTGCTACAGGTCCTGGACTCACAGGAAGAGATACCACATATTAGCTGAGGGAGGTAAAGCTATGCAATCAGGTTATCAGTGATAATAAAGATACAAATGCAGAGGGATAGCTCTTTACAACGCTTCTTCAAATAATAACTTAGCTAAAAGAAAAAAAGGCACTGGCAAAAATCTCCTAAATTAAGGACAGGAAACTCCTAACCAACTTCAAGATGTGAGTGGAAACTATCCATCAGTATGCATTCCAAGACTGACTGCAGAAATAAGAAACTTAACTACTAGACCAATATTTGATTAACAAGTTAGATAAACAAAAAACTATTTGACATCATTTGTTAAACTGCTGAAACTATCCTGCAGAATTACCACATAAAGAGGGTTCAAAATCTGTTACAGTAAGAGACACAAATGGTCATTTTAAAAAAACCTTCAATACTAAGAGCGTAAGTTTTTTGTATAACCCACTGTAAAAGCATCAATATCCTAAACAGTGGATTATAACAGAAATGCCCATTAGGATTTTAAAGATTCCAATGCCAATCAGAAATTAGTTACAAAATTAATAAGTATTAAAAACTCTATTCAAATGTCTATGTAACACTTTTTATTTCATCTTGTCCTTTTTATAGAAGAAACAAATACAATTCCAAGCCAGTCACTAAAGCCTTCTCCAAATGCTATAAAGTCCAAAGAGGATAATTTTGATCTTTCATCTGCAAACCTTTAATTTTACCACTAAAGCCTGACTACAGTAAGCACTATGAAGTAAGTGAAAATGTTACACAGCTATCTTTTTTTTTCTTTTCTTTTCTTTTTTTTATTTTTTTCTTGGTACCGGGGATTGAACTCCAGTCCTTGCACTTGCAAGGCAGGCCACCGAACCGCTGAGCTAAATCCCCGGCCTCTACACAGCTATTTCAAATACATAAATGAAAGCTTAATACAGAAAAGTTTATGATAGCAAGCATGTGTGATGTGCTACCCTAAAACAGAGACACAAAATATTATTGAATAATATATGAATGGCATTATGAATGGCAGTAAATATGTAGGGATGACTTCTATAAAGGACAGAAGAAAACAGTTCACTGCTAGAAGATATTTACAACTTAAAATGATACTTGGAGCCAGGCATGGTGGCGCACGCCTGTAATCCCAGCACTCCGGAGGCTGAGGCAGGAGAATCACTGTGAGTTCGAGACCAGCCTGGGCTACACAGTGAGTTCCAGGTCAGTCTCAACTACAGAGTGAGACCCTTTCTCAAAAAACAAAAACAACAACAACAAAAAAAAAATAAAATAAAATGATACTTGGTACAATTTCCTATTTTAAAAATTAACTTGTTTGGGGGATTATTTACACTGTATCAAAACTTGTATTGTAATGAACAACTTTGTATATATTCCTCAAAATACACTAGAGATATATTATGACAGTACCAAGAATGGAAAACTATTGGGTGTGGTGGTACACACCACACATATAATCCTAGCACTTGGGAGGCTGAAGCAGGAGGATCCCCAGGAGTTCAAGGCTAGCCTGGGCTATATAGTGCATTCAAGGCCAGCTTGGATTACATAGCAATACCTTGACTCAAGAAAGGAAAAACTCCTGAAAGAATTTAAATTAACACAAATACGACATTAATTTTTACTTAATTTTATTTAAAATAGGCCCTGTGAATCAGTAGGTTCCACATCTGTGGAGTATAACCAACCACACAGAATCAAAAATATTCAGAAAAAATAAATTGTTTATATTTAGTATGTACATAATTTAGGGTCATTATTCAATAAACAATGTAGTTTCTTATATAACTTATACAACTGCTCTTATATAATTGTTTATAAAGCATTTACATTGTGTTATAACCTACAGATGATTTAAAGTACACAGTATAGGTAGGCTATATGCAAATAAGCCAGTTGCATACATGATTGTGGCATTATAGAAGAAACAGAAATACATTTCCAAGCCAGTTACTAAAGGCTCCTCCACTGGCCCTGGAGCCAATCCCCTGGGCACACCAAGGGACAACTGCATTGGGGTGTGGGGGGGTGTTCTGATTTCTCAATGTGTAACATATAGTCCTTATGAAGGTACAAGACCAACTCTACCACAAACTACTGTTAAAGCATAAACTTCAGGGTCAAAACAACTTTATTAACAACTTTAAACTTTTCTTATTTTACTCAACCCCACATAGTAAATGACAACAATGAATGTATTATGGTGTTTGTTGAGATACTACTTACTAAGAAAGGCCTAGGTCAGTGATAGCGAACTCCTAAGAGCTTTCAATGATACAACCAGCCCACTGCAGCGCTCATGCTATAGGTTTACCACCACTCACCAAGATATTTCTAATAACAGAGGAATAAATTGCAGCACATCAACATGATGGAATCAGTCACTTAATATTGAAATAAAGAATATGCCAATATGCTAACTACACATATGATTAGCTATCTATGTATAGTGTCACCACATTGCTTCTTTTGCATAAACTCCTTTATGTTTTCTGAGTGGGACAGAAAAGTCTAAACATTTACAAATGTAAATGTGTTACATTCATGAGATAATGAAGCACTTAAGATGTACTCACTCCCCACTTACAAGTGTCAGGCAGTAAAGGCTGGGAGTTCAAGAGTGAACCCTAAAGAGAAGACTGCCTGGGTCTGATTCCTAGCTCTACTGTTACAAGCTATAAAACCTCAGGCAAGTCAAATTCTATGTACTTAATCTCTAGATATCTCACTTCCTCTTTTTCAAAAGTGGGATTAAAATAACAGCTGTACAATGGAAGAAAACATGAACACATACAAAGCACTCAGAACAGTGTCTAACATATAGCGATGACCCAATAACTTGGAGGGGAAGGTAGCACTGCAGGTCTTCAAATTCTTAGTCTACATTTAACGACCTGTTTAATGACACTTTGGACTTCCTGTCTTTTTTTTTACGTTTCCTTTAACTATTTCTCCATTCAGTATACTGTAATGTACATTCTCTATACAATTCCTCATTTAGCGACCAATTGATTTAACGCCCTAGTCGTGGGAACAGAACTCAGTCATTAAATGAGGAGTGTCTGTATTGGAATAAATGACTGGGGTAATTTTAAAACACACTTAGAAATGACACTGACCACACACAAGGATGAAACATGCTTTTCACTACAGATAGGTTTTTGTTTGATTTTTTTTCCCAAGTACTGGGGACTGAAACCAGGACCTTCACACTTGAGCTACACCTCCCCTTCTTACTGAGACAAGATATCTCTGAGTTGCTAAATTGCCTACACTGGGCTAAAATTTATGATCCTCTTGTCTCAACCTCACAGAAATGTTCAATTAAAAGTTTTATGTGTGTGCATTTCACAACCTGGTATACATTTATGCACATATAAACTATTTGATGTCATGAATTTACTTATGTAGATCATAACCAGCTGTAATGACTTTATAATTAGTGGGTCACTTTCTAAATAATAAATAACTTTTAAAATTTTTATCCTTTGATCTTATTTTTCACAGCAAGGGGCAGAGAGCGCCAAAGGTGGGTAGGGAAGGGTAAAGAAAAATGAAAAAGAAAGAGCAGGAGCCAGAGGGAAAGAAGAAAAAAGAAAAGAGAATGAAAGGGCAGGGAGAAAGAGGGAGAAAGGAAGAGCTAAGGTCAAAAACTATTATACAAGTCTTTAATTTTCCCTCCAATTTCTAACTTTACTTCATAGACTTCTAAAATTTATACTTTCTAACTGGAAATTTGAACACAAACTTTTGGGGGAGGGGTACCGGGGATAGAACTCAGGAGTTTGAGGGTGCCAGGCAAGCAGGGCACCACTGAGCTACATCCCTGCCCCAGAACATTCTTAAGAGATCATTAAAAGGTATACAGAAATTTGGTCAGTTTTTAAAATATACCCAGAAAGGTTACATTTAAACAAAGTGAGCTTTTGACAACACTAGAATTAGGAAAAAGTAAAGAAGAATATAGATTGTGTGTTT